CCTTTGAATTCATAATAGAGTATGTGTGTACACAGGTGAGACAGAGAGAGAAAGAGAGAAGATGAGCACCCTTCACAGAGTCTGGTCTTACTGTGAGCCCCTTCCTCTAGCCCTCCTACCCATCTTGGGCATTTGTGTGCATGCTGGTTGGATCAAGTATTTGACCCACATGTGGTCGCTATGTGGGATCTAGCTTCTCTTGAGCAGTGCATCACCTCTGCACCACGGTCAGCCAGCAGGTTCTATTTTCTTTTCTTTTTTTTGGAGAGGTTTTTGCTATAGGGTGCGTGCACTCACCAGAAAGACAGAGAGAGATAGAGAGACAGAAAGTGAGAAATCACCGCCCTGGGGGGATGGCCATGCCACAATCCCTTTTCCTCCATTTTCCTCTTGGGATCTTGGGCATGCATGCACACGTGCCCGGTGTGAGTTTAAGCTCCCAGGCTAGGACTTGAACTGTGGTTGGCTACATGGGAGTTCAGTGACATAGCCATTATGCTAACTCCTATTTTCTTTTCTTTTTAAAAATATTTGTCATTTTGAAGTTCTTGGTAGAGCACATGTATGTGAGAGAGAAAGATAGAAACATCCTCCACACGGTCTGGCCATGCAGTGATCCTCTTCCTCCACTCCTCTAGCACATCAGATCCTGGGCACTCATGTGTGTGTCTGGTGTGTTTCAGGCTGACCAGGCTGGGGATCCAAACCATGGTTGCCATGTGAGATGTGGCTTCTCACAAGTGGAACATTACTATGGAGTCAGTCTAGGAAATTCCATCCTCTAAGTCACACAAAGGCAACATGGCTAACGACAGCCTCAGTAGCAGCCCCTGTAGTTATTTCTTTTCCAGGCCAGGTCCACTTTTATTCTTGAGAATAATAAATGAGATAAAGTATCAGGACACCAAAGGCAGAGACCAGCCAAAGTTTCCATTCTTCTCTACCATAAATAGCTGTAAGGAACATTTAACTAGTGACTGCTCTGCTTTTCAGTAAAATCACCAAAAAGGTGATTTTACTTGACGTGCATAGTCAAAGCCCAGTGCTATGGGCACCAATGGGTGACTGCCTTTGAGGGACCTTTATATAGTCATTGCCCTGTTATGTCACTCAAGGCCTGTACATTGGTCCGGCAAACTTGAGTACGTATCATGCAGGATGTGCAAGAAGCGTAATTGCTAGACACAGAATTGTCCTAGAAATGTTGCCACATTCTGTTTTTACCCCTTGTGATAAGATACACTATTTGGTTTTTGGGAAACACACATACAAATCTTAGTGTGGTTTAGACAAGAACTTGAACAGTGGTCATTGTTGCGAATACCAAGGCTTTCCCACAAGAAACAGTGATTATTATTATTTTTTTTTAGTTTTTCTGCCAGTTTTCAAGTTTCAAGTCTTTGGGATTCTAGCCTGACCTCTGAGGTTCAAAGCCTAACAAGGTCTTCTAGACTGGAGTAGTCACAGAGTTATCTGTCATAAAATACCTTTGCAGAGAGAGATCTTCTTACTGGGGGCTTGATCCAAATGGTTCCTCCATTTTAACTTTATTTCTCTAAGAGGTAAGAAAGGTAAATCAACAGTTAGTGAACTATGGCCTGCAGGCCAAATCTGGCCTATGAGCTAGGAAGACTTTTCACATTTTTAAAACATTGAAAAAGGTCAAAGAATAATCATCTCTTGTATTATATTCAACTTGAATTTCAGTGCTCTAAACAGCATTTTATTAGGATATACCATACTCATTCACTTATGTGTCATCTATGGCTGCTCTCATGCTTCAGTTACAATGTTGAGTCATTGCCACAGAGACAAACCATGTGGCTTGCCCAAAATATTTCCTATCTGGCCCTTTATAGAAATATTGGTGACTTCTACTCTAGGGAAATAGTTTAAAGGTGTATTTAAATTTTTATCTAGCTCTTTTAAAAAAAACCCAGCTTTGTTGAGAAATAATTGATATAGACTAAGTTACAAATTATTATTTTTATTTAAAACATGTTTTTTGGTGAAGGAAAGTACAGCTTTATTGCAAAGTGCAAAGCAAAGAGAGTGGGCAGCTTGTACTGAAAAGACTGGGTCTCCCCAAGGTGTTCCCCACATGCATTTTTAAGGGCCAAATTAAGGACAGGGGTCCCATGCACAAGGTCAGTTCAATGATTGGTTCAAGAGGGCGTGATCATCTCGGGGACATTCTTGATTGGTGAAGCCTTTGGTAATCAAATTCCTGTTCAGGTCTCTGGAGCCATTCAGCCTGAGGTCTTTGTTGAGCTCACAGCCAGAAGCTTCTATCTTACAAAACAGCCATTTTTGCTGATTTGTCAGGTGGTGAGTTCTCTTGACTGTGACTTCCAAAAGAACAGAACAGCTTTGGTTAACCTTGCTCACCATGCCAAATCAGACGTCTACCAAGTCCAATCCAATGCCTTGTAAACTTCACCACAGAACTGAAATTGCTGTGGGTCAATAGCACCTAGTTGGCAGCCACTTACCCAGGACTGTTCCTGAGACAAAGTGCTCAGGCAGCTGCAGGACACGATCTGAGGGTGACCATCAGCCAAGGGCTACTGTACCTTGGGCAAGATGCCCACAAAGGACCTTGTCCCATCTGGGGTGCTGGTAAACTATTACTGAACTCCAATCAGGTTTGCTCTCCCAAGCCCCGTAAAACCAAACCATAGGCACATGGTGTGAAGAAGGGGAAGACCCGGTCTCAAGTTACACGTTACTAACCACTGTGCTGTAGGGCTGGCCCAGGTTACACATATTTATTTATTTTTTAAATTACACATTCTTAAAGTATGTAATTTGATCAATTTTGGCATAGGTAAATAAATACGTATGAAGCTATCACCACAATAAAGATAGTAAATACCCATTGTCCCCTAAGTTTCCATAACTGCTCATTTATAATCCCTTCCCCTTTTCTCTTCCCGTCCCACATTGTCCTCAGCAACCACTAATCAAATTTCTGTCATTATAGCTTAGTTTGCATTTTCTTGAGATTTATGTAAATAGAATCTTACAATACATATGTGTGTGTGTGTGTGTGTATGTGTGTGTGTGTGTATATATATAGTTTTTTTTTTTTTTTTGGTCTGGCTTATTTCACTCAGTAAAATTATTTTGAGATTCATCATTTTGTTATATGTATCAACATTCATTCCTTTTTATTACTGAGTAGTAGTCCACTGTAAGGATATACCAGATTTGTTTAATTATGTACCTCTTGATGGGCATTAGGGTTTTTTTTTGTGTTTTTGAGGACTGCAAATACAGTTCTTTGAACATTTATGTGTAAGTCTTTGCATGACATGCTTTCTTTTCTCTTGGGTAGATGCTTTGGAGTGAAATGACTAGATCATATGGCAGGTGTATACTAACTTCTTAAACTAAAATATTTCAAGGTGGTTGTGCCGTTTGACGTCCCCACTAGCAATTTAGAGAGTTCAGTTCCTTAATAGGAACCACCGTTGGATGTTATTGATATTCGAGTGTCTGAATTCCTTGTGTGAAGTATGGAGAAGAGTTTTTAATAGTTGATTAATTTAGGTTCTGTAGACCCCCCACACCCAAATTTATTTGCTTCAGTTTTAACTTTGGGATTAAATGATCTAAATTTACTGAGAAGATTTAGATTTACTGAGAAAGGGGATTGAATACGTGGAATTTTTACCACAGAATACTCTCCCATCAATATAGTTAAGATCTTGACTTTTTATGCAGTGAGCAGCAAGTTTCACTCTGTAATTTTAAATTTTCATAATGTGTGTGACCCTGTCCACTCCCCCTACCCCATTCTGGGATCAGGATCCTCTGAGACACTCTGAGCTTCTAGAATGTGTAAACATCAAAAGGTTAGCTATCAAAAACACACATTTCTGGGGGCCATTTCCAGAACTCCAATCGAGATTGAAGCTGGGACCTAAGAACTTCATTTTCAGAGGCATTGTAGTGGAGAGTTTGAGGACAGATCTTTGAGACTGAGAGCAAAACAAGACAACTCCACCAAGCACTCCACAGGGGTTTGTTAGAGGGTTACTTGCATATGGGAAGGGCGGGGTGGATGGTGATCCAGGAACATCACTGTTTCATCTCTGCACTCCATGCCACTGTGCAGTAAGCAGGGTTCTTACAGGGGATTCAAATTCCAAAGGATACCTCTGATTTGGAAATGTGATTGTCCCCAGGCTCCCCAGGTCATCAGTCTTTTCCTAAAATAAAGGCCAGCTGTGTTGGGAAATGCATCTTTATCTTAAGCAGCAATTACACGGGCAAGAAAAATGGAGGGCCTAAGATGGCATTAGTCCTCACAGAATAGAGCTGGTCCACTGAACTCATACATTGAGTTTGTTGTCCCCACTTTGTTGCAGCTAAGTGTTGTAATTTGGGGGAGTATTTCTTTTCAGTGTAGTGGTACCAAGCATTATTCAAGTGTAAGATGTAAGGTTTTATTTTATACTACTTATTTTTTTAAAGGATTATTTAATTTTATTTATTATTATCATTTTTTAACTTGATTAGCTAGAGACAGAGGGAAAGTGAGAAAGCAAGTCACGAGGTCCGGGGTTTGAACCATGGTTGGCCATGTGGGAGTCTAGCACCTTAACCACCACACCACTTGCCAGCCCATTAAGTGAGGCCTTTGGTCAGTAGCCTAGTCAATACAGCCTTTCATGGTTTATATGAACTTTTTACAGTTTTAAATTGTTTTATATACATTATAACTAAACTGACTATGACAAGGATCATTTCAACTTACTATTATTATTTTTATTTTTAAGCTATCTGAAGAGTCCATGATAGAATCTATGGGAGTAAAGTGATTTCTTTGTGTGAGGGCAAAATATTTTTCTAGAATAACCCTTTAGTCTGTTAAAGAACATGTGCTGAGTTCCTTACTTGAATAGTTCAGTCTCTATCAAACATTATGTTGGAATGTTTGTTTCTCTCAGTCACACAACATTGTTTTTCTCTTTCTAAAAATGTACTCTGCTTAGAACTATTTTGGTGGAAAACTCTCTGCTCAAGGGAAAATGCCTTGGATTGAATATAATAATGAAAAAGTTTCTGGCACAGAATTTATAATTGACTTTCTGGAAGAGAAACTTGGAGTGAATTTGAACAAAAACCTTGGCCCTCATGAAAGAGCCATCTCCAGAGCGGTGACCAAGATGGTGGAGGAGCACTTCTACTGGTGAGTCTCTTTGGATGTGCCCCTTTCTCTCCGAGTAAGGCCCACGCTCTGTTTCCCTTTGCAGACACTCTTCTCATAATTATAAAAGATTTTTACACTAACAGTTGGAATGGACAATCTGACTGGCTTAGGGTTCAAAGTTATGACTATTACGTTTCTAGGTGTCTAGACCAGGGATAGACAAACATTTTGTGTAAAGGACCAGCTGGTAAATATTTTCAGCTTTGCAAATCATGCATCTCTGTTGCAGCTGTTCAACTTTGCTGTTTTGCTTCAAAAACAGCCATCAGCTATATGCCGATGAATAAATATAACCGTTTCCCAGTAAAGCTTTATTATGGATACTGAAACTTGAATTTCATTTAATACATTTCTTCCTTTGACTTTTTATTTTATTTTTTTTAGGTTTTGCCATAGGGTATATGCACTTGCAGGAGAGAAACAGAGGGAAAGTGAGAAATCACCCTTCTAGGGGGGATGGCCCCGCCACAATCCCTTCTTCTTGATTCTGCATTTACACGAGGTCTGGGGTTTGAACCATGGTTGGCCATGTGGGAGTCTAGCACCTTAACCACCATACCACTTGCCAGCCCATTAAGTGAGGCCTTTGGTCAGTAGCCTAGTCAATACAGCCTTTCATGGTTTATATGAACTTTTTACAGTTTTAAATTGTTTTATATACATTATAACTAAACTGACTATGACAAGGATCATTTCAACTTACTATTATTATTTTTATTTTTAAGCTATCTGAAGAGTCCATGATAGAATCTATGGGAGTAAAGTGATTTCTTTGTGTGAGGGCAAAATATTTTTCTAGAATAACCCTTTAGTCTGTTAAAGAACATGTGCTGAGTTCCTTACTTGAATAGTTCAGTCTCTATCAAACATTATGTTGGAATGTTTGTTTCTCTCAGTCACACAACATTGTTTTTCTCTTTCTAAAAATGTACTCTGCTTAGAACTATTTTGGTGGAAAACTCTCTGCTCAAGGGAAAATGCCTTGGATTGAATATAATAATGAAAAAGTTTCTGGCACAGAATTTATAATTGACTTTCTGGAAGAGAAACTTGGAGTGAATTTGAACAAAAACCTTGGCCCTCATGAAAGAGCCATCTCCAGAGCGGTGACCAAGATGGTGGAGGAGCACTTCTACTGGTGAGTCTCTTTGGATGTGCCCCTTTCTCTCCGAGTAAGGCCCACGCTCTGTTTCCCTTTGCAGACACTCTTCTCATAATTATAAAAGATTTTTACACTAACAGTTGGAATGGACAATCTGACTGGCTTAGGGTTCAAAGTTATGACTATTACGTTTCTAGGTGTCTAGACCAGGGATAGACAAACATTTTGTGTAAAGGACCAGCTGGTAAATATTTTCAGCTTTGCAAATCATGCATCTCTGTTGCAGCTGTTCAACTTTGCTGTTTTGCTTCAAAAACAGCCATCAGCTATATGCCGATGAATAAATATAACCGTTTCCCAGTAAAGCTTTATTATGGATACTGAAACTTGAATTTCATTTAATACATTTCTTCCTTTGACTTTTTATTTTATTTTTTTTAGGTTTTGCCATAGGGTATATGCACTTGCAGGAGAGAAACAGAGGGAAAGTGAGAAATCACCCTTCTAGGGGGGATGGCCCCGCCACAATCCCTTCTTCTTGATTCTGCATTTAGGATTTTGGGCATGCACATATGTGTGCCCAGTGTGATTTTCAATCTGCTGGGTCTGGGACTCGAACTGTGGTGAGCCAGGTGGGAGTCCAGTGCCGTAACCACCACACCACCTGTTGGCCCCTCTTTTAACTTTTTTCAAACAGTCAAAAGAATAAAAGCTTCTTAGCTTGCAGGTTGTAATTTGCTGACCTTTGATCTAGATTGGAACTCACTGAGGTGAGGGAGATATTTTGCTTGATTGGGCTTAGGGCTCTTTGCCAATATCCACTGCTGAATTCAAGTCATATTCAGTCAGATCCCTGGAGGAGACAAAGGCAAGATACAATTTCTAGCTGAAATGAATTATGCAACCTTTGTAAGATTACTGTCTGTTCTCTTTAGCTAATAAGAGTGCCTCTGTATTCCAGAAGTAAACCGTGTCACTCCTTTCTGGAGTTTCTTTGCCCTGGCTGGCCGACTCCTAGTGTGTGCTCACCAGCTTAGAAGCGTCACAGGTTGTACTGGTGAGTTGCTCCTGCTCTGCCCTCAGGGCCTGGAGCTGGCTGTGACACCATGTGAGTTAAGCAGCTGTGGGTCTTCTTGCTTTACAAACTCACTTGTCATTGGGTCTTTTTCTTTCATTTATTTTCTGGAGTCCTGCATATTTTTTCCTTATCTCGATAAATGAATTTCTACAAACTTATCTTGTCCCAAAGATGTAATTTGGAACTGTTAAGCCCATTTTGGGGGCATTGTTACTCCCAGGTCAGATGCTGGCCAGTAGCTTTAACCAAACCTCCTCCACTGACTGGGGGGTTTTTCTTTTTCTTTCATTTATTTTCTGGAGTCCATATTTTTTCCTTATCTTGACAAATGAAAGAATGTTTTGTCCTGATTTCTACAAACTTATCTTGTCCCAAAGATGTAATTTGGAACTGTTAAGCCCATTTTGGGGGCATTGTTACTCCCAGGTCAGATGCTGGCCAGTAGCTTTAACCAAACCTCCTCCACTGACTGGGGGGTTGATCATTACAGCAAGTTCTTCCTTATCATTTCTCTAGTGCAGCCATTAAGCTCTTATTTAAATGGAAAACCTATCTCTCAGGTTTTAGGTGACCCTCTATTTTTCTTTTCCTCTTTCTACTTTTAGTTCTGGTTAGTTTATTCCAGGGCTGACCTGAGTACCACTGCTCTCTCACTGCAGAGGTGACATGGGGAAGCAAGCAGGGAACTAGGGAGAGGGGGAGACAGGAGTAGAGGTCAGTGTGGAAGAAATGACTTGTGTTGTCAGAATGTGTCTTTTCCTTATGATACTGATGGAGAACGGCGAGGGTTCCCCTCTCAAAGAGTGCAGGAGTTGTGGTGGGGACCAGGTACACGATGGTGTGCCATGTGCACGTGCATAGCTTCTGGGAAAAGCCCAGGCGGGCAGAGCCCAGTCTCAGCTTTGCAATGATGGGGAATGAAGAATTCCTACGGGCCCCCTGATGCTTGCTTTCCCTTGGTGATGGTCCTATTGATGTGGAGGGCTAGCCCTTTGCTAGCTGCCTGAGAAGCTGTAAGCTGTGTGGTTTAGCTGGTACTTTAGCTCAAAGTCTTTGATTTCTAGATGGTTCCAAAAATGAATATTCTCACTGGAAGGTTTTTAAACCAGCAAAATTTGACATGTCACTGCTTTTTGCCCTGGTTATGCATGTCATTTTAACACTTTTTAAAAAAACAATAATTATTTATTTTATTTATTATTATTATTATTTAAAAATTTGCTATAGGCCACGTATGCTCACCAGAGAGAGAAAGAGAGGGAGAGGGGAAGTGAGAAAGCAAACCGTCAGGTGTGAAACTTGAACTGTGCTCAACCATGTGGGAGTCCAGCACCTTTAACCACCACCCCACCTGCTGGCCCCATGTGCATGCCATTTTACACAGCTTTATTCCCTGGTAGAACTTCATCTTCTGCCCTCTTTTCTTCATCTTTCCCTTTACCAGACCTGATGGGGTGTGAATGGGGGTGAGGGGTGGGAGCAGGAGTTGGGAGGTGTTACCAGGTAGGGAAGAATCTTAATTTTATAGACCATATACTTCCAAGTCCTTGGGAATTTGTTTGGGTCATATATCGACTCTTCAGAGGATAATTTTGTTTCTGTAATTCCATTTTTAATTAGAAAAAGACTTTTTTGGATTAGCTGCTATTATTAATTTTTTTTAGAGGTTTTTGCTACAGGGCCTGTGTGCTCATCAGAGAGACAGAGACAGAGAGACAGAAAGTGAGAAAACAACCCCCAGGGGGGCTGGCACACCGCAGTCCCTTCTCCTCCATTGTCCTCTTGGGATCTTGGGCACACATGCACACTCACTAGGCATGAGTTTAAGCCACCGGGTCCAGGACTCAAAACTGCGATCGACTACGTGGGAGTCCAGCGACATAGCCATTATGCCAACTGCTGGTCCCAGATTATTTATTATTTCTTACTTATGTCTACTCAAGAGTTCATTTGAAAAAGAAATAATGAAGGTAAAGAGCTAGGCTAATCTGTAATCCCAACTATTTGGGAGGCTGAGGCTGGAGGATTCTGAGAGTTTAAGGCCAGCCTTGGCAACCTAGTGAGACCTTGTCTCTTTGAAAAACAAACAAACAAAAAACATGACAAATAAATAGTGAAAGTGGAAAGAAAGGTCTTGACTGAGATGCAAATATCCAATGGACTTTCAAAATAACTTTCCTAATTCCTCCAATTCCCTTTAGCTTCTAGTAGCAAAAGGGAAAATTAATCTTTTGCTGTTGTTTAAGGTTCCCAGGCCTTTAGCTAACTTCTTGCTTTTGGGGTACCCTGAAGAGATTTTCCTAAGAGTTCTAAATCCCAATGGAAAAAAGGCCCAACTTCCCTAAAATGCTGCAGGTGGAGAATCTTTGAACACTCTTCCCTCAGGCTCCTTTCTTTCCCCTTGTCTGCTCCCAGAGGCCATGCACAAAATACCCACCTGTGGACGCCAGGGGCCCAGCAGAACGGAACATAATAAAAGTAAGAGCTTTCCATGAGATCTTGGTAAATTCTGACGATCAGTGAGCTCATAGGTTGTCCTCTGTACTCACAGAGGTGGGCGACGAAATATAATAAATGCACCATGTTTGACTCAATTGATTCAATGATCTGGAGTTTTTTCAGCTGTATTTATTTTGACCTAAAACCTTAAAAATAATCCACTTCAGGTATGATTTTCTGAAAAGCCAAGGCAGTGGGAAACTGCCATTATTATGTAACATTACATAATTCTGAAGCTCTGTTTTAGGTCTGTTCATATAATACACTCAGCTATAAAGTGTTTTTTTCTGCACTTGAAAT